CGCCGCGGATTCTAACACCGATTCCTTCTATTCTAATACACAGTAGGCCTCAATAGTCTTATAAATAACACAGATACACACAGAACAGCACTGAGAATAACTGAGTTGTAGAGATAAGTTTCAGGTTTAGTTTATTTAATGGGATGGGTGAAGGCCATTTCACATCCTGAACGGCACAGCAAACAAAAGTTTAATAAAAATGGAGTGTCTACGTACACGGTAACCGGGCACGTTGTCTCAGTATCTATGTACACGGTAACCGGGTCGTTAGTTTCGGGGGCCCCTTGAGCTAGGTTCATGGTAAATGCTTCACTCCCTTCATGACGTTGAATTCTTTCATTTTTTCCCCGCTTTCCTGTTGTATTTATTTGTATCCAGGTTCACATACAATTTTGAATCCAAATAATGGGACACACCCATCTTGTTTCCTCATAGACAACTGTGAACCCAAATAATGCAACACACTCAAGGAGTGTATACACTGTATCAGCCAGTCCCTCTAGTTCTCCATACGGGTAGTTAACAGCATAGTACTCCCTTTCTCCATCCCGTAAACCTAGGAGTGTTATTTACCAAATAAAAGCTCAGCATCTCCTCTGTAACCCGCAGTTTGAAACCAGTTTCTATCTCGTTTTATACTCCCTTGGGATACATTTTTTGGATTTAAAAGAGAATTTTAATAATTCGAACCAACAATTTTTGTTTTAACCTTCATATTTCTTTTCATAAATCTATTCTCTCCATTGTGGTGAAAAATCTCCGGGTACGAGCTAAATTTCCATGAACTAGCGCACTTTATGTGACTAGTCTAGTGCAACGCTCGGTGCAAAGAAAAACTCTGTGAAGCGGGAACTTGCCGTCTGACTTTCTTGTGTGTTTATAATTATAGAGCCTTTTAACATCAACGATGGAACACTCTTATAACATCCACTTTGAGAATTTAAACAAGTTGTGTCGTACTTGTGGTGGAAGAAGTGTAAAAACTAAAGTTTCTAAGCAGCGTCGATTTTTGTGTAAAAACTTTAAGTCTGACTTATTGCAATATTATAGACTGAACATTGACAACGACGCAGCCGACAAGCATTCCAACACTCTGTGCAGGAAATGTGGCTCGCGAATATACACACTACGGAAGCAAATTACAAATGCGGCTTTGAAGGCCGCACAGAAATGTGTTGAAGACAGTGCCTATGTTTGGTCCGCTTAAGACGCAAGCATAAGCATTAACGAGTGCTCTGTGTGTGCTCACTGTGTTAAACTTAGCAAAGGGTGCATTAAAGAGCGCATTCCTTTGCTTACGGAAGGACACGAGTTGCGTTCTCCGTCCCCCGCTCGTATGGCAGTGGAGTCTGCGAGCATAACGGATACCCCCACCCCTGATGTTTTCTCTTTAAGCACAGGCGATGGTGCTCAGCCCTTTACCACTCAATCCATTGACAGCACATTTACACATACAGACGAAGACTCATTTTACATTTCACCAGAAACTCATATTTTGACATCCACACCTAAAACGAAGACGAAACAGTTCAGACAGTACCAGCTTCCCATTAGTCAAACATGAAACGACATTTCATTAGAGTCAACACTTTTGAAATCTGACACAGAGCCACTCACGCCGTTAGAATGAAAAGTTGCTACACATCTGATCAGACGAAAGCTTAACTCATCTCAGACGAAAGGACGGTTGAGATTCAAAACAAAAGGACAGCCATTACTGTTTCAAAGGATAGTCACACACAGAATATCATCTGACTTATCAAGCTCACCGACAAGAAAACGAAGAACAAATATAATTAACAAAGTCAGGCAGTCAGTTGCTGGTAGAAGTAAAAGTGACATAGAAGTGCAGCATGCGTCTGACCTAAAGAGACAGAGAGGAAAAGTCAGACGCAATATTTTACACAAAAGTGGGACACGGGAAAAAGTAGTTATAGGGGCAAAGTTTGCTCTTGCCATAAAAGAAACCCTGGGGTTGACATGGCATCAGGATAGACAGAGGCGTACATCGTGGAGGAATGTTGGCGTCTGTATCCCGAGCGAAAACCAGGACAGGAAAATCTATAAAGACATTGTTTCAGGTAGTGTAGAAATAGAGAAAATCAAAGTCCACTCTGAGGCGGGAACAAGCCGCTCGCCAGAGGAACCACTGGCCACTGTCCCCGACCTTCAGGAATTTAAATCTTCCGTCTCATAGATAGTAGTATGTTTATCAAATTATTGACTATAGTAACATCAATTCAGCTGTGAAGGTCTTCGATCTCATGTGAAATGTACTGGTGCGTTGGCTGGACTCAACAGTTTTCCCACTCATTGTGTGCATTAATTAACAATAGCAGCAAGACATTTTGGTCGTACATCATAAACGTAAGTGTGTTTGAAAGTTCAAAGTCTGACTGTGAGCTGAAAATGAAGACTGTAACAATCTGTCAGTCCGTTTATTTTTAATTATTTTTTTAAAAACATGTTTGTTTGTAATAATCAATCTATGATGAAAGCCACATTCCCCCTCTTTTAAACAACACTTTCTTTTACTTCTCCGTGATAAAAATTATACTGTCGTAAACTACACCTTCGTCTTCATGTGATCATTTGGTTGTTGTTTCATTGACTTTCTAAGCTTTCATAAGAACTGGTGTTGTTTTATGTGTACAAAACATAACATTGCGGGGGAGCCGCTGACCGCGAGGCCGAGCACCCGCAGGTAGCGTGACCGGGGCGTGACCTCGTCTCGGAGGTCAGGTCGGCCGACAACTAAGTGATCCTGAGTGGAACAGCCGTGTGTAACGTAACTAGCCTGTGAGATGGTCTACAGATTTTCTCTTTTCCTTAAGATGTAGATCTAGGTGAAGTGTGTATACGCCAAAATTGATTTTAAAAGATATTCCTTTTGTGTTATTTCAACTGTATTTTGTTAAAATTTAGATTGTAACACAATGTGGTCTTATTAAGTTTTATTAACTTAAATTGGAGAAATCCAATACCATGACTTAAATGGCAGAAATATGAATGACTTAAATTTGGGTGTATAGAATCTATATAATAATATGTGGATGGCAGGGTACAGCACCTCAAGCTTCATTTTAATCAATACACTGCTGTAAGTAGGCCTGTTCTTTATAAATATGAAAAGATGATGATGAAGACAATGGGATATCAAAGAAATCTGGGTGGAGTTAGTCTTAGTAAAGCTATTCAAATGAATCAAGCTGGCATGGCTTTATCTGTAGATGGCTATTATGACAGAAAACATTTTGACAAAGAATATAATGCAGCAGAATTCAACTTCAGTAATGTTTTCTCATGGAAACACTTGTTGTTATTGAATATGAAGACTTTTTCTTCTATAGTTATAGAGGAAAACTTAAATGTTGTTGCTTGTTAAGTGATGTTTTTTTTCATACTTTAACATTTTTTTTCCAGAGCTGCAGTCAAGAAATACACAAAAGTGCAAGATACATCACGTGAAAACCAGGTCTGTGCTTTATTGTGCTGTTTTGTTTTGGTTTTTTTTTTATTTTTTATTAAGAAGTTTTTCCCTTTAGTTTGTCTTTTTTCTCTATGTAGATTCCTGATTTTTTTTTCTTATTCACGTCTGTTTTGTTATGGATTACGGATCTCTTTCTGTCTCTTCTATTTTGCTGTTGGCCCTCAAATGAAGTTTTTGTCCTCAGCTGTTACACAGTGGTTGAGTTATTTGCTGGCTGACTCAACCATCAAGATAGCCCAAGCCCAGAACTATCTGACAAGCTTTTAATTCTATGTTACACACATAAATCAAAATTGATTCTGATTATGGTCATGAAATTCAGTATGACAGTAATAAAATAATCATCTGGAGAGAAGGAAATAATGGATGGCTCTTAATTTTTATAAACAAAAGAAAAAAAAGACAACAATTATACAATGTGGTAAAAGAAGAGAAAAATTGACCTTTGAGCACTGGTTTGTCATCTCATACATTAAAAATTTCTTTTTGTACAAAAGATTTAAAAATTAGAATGAAAGATTTTTATTACCTTCACTGTTACCTCTCAGACACACTCTTAACTTCCATAAATAAACATGTTTTTCTTGTGATTCAACACAGAAGCCTTGTTGGTAGATGGTATATGGTTGCATTTCCATCTGTGAATGTGTAAACACTGAAGTCTAGCTAGTAGTGTGAGGGTAGCTGTCAATTGAAACAATTTTCTTTTTCTTTAACTTTCAGTTGAACTGATTAATTGAAACATTTAATTATAATGTGCTCATTAGTTCAACAGACAGTGAAATTATTGTGCTATTTATTGGGTGTTTTTCATCACAAGTTGTATTTTAAGCTTTTGGCTGTAAATGTGCTTTCCATGCATACGCCTGTGTGTTGTCCTCCTTTCTTTGCTTCTCATAAGATACATTGAAGGTTGTGTTTCAATACAGCCTACATCTGCTCACTTTTTGCCTTTAGTTCCTGCTTTTCTCCTCTTCACTTTTACAATAAATGATGCATAATTGTACCATCTCACCATTATTGTTGCTAAGCAAACTGAGGTCGTGGGTGGTTGGCGGGTGCTCTGGTTTGGTTTGCTGCTTCTTTCCTATCAAACATCTTGTGTCCTTATTTCTCTTTCTTTTTCATGTTTGTTACTCTCTTGCAACACCTCTGATCTTCGTCACTTATATGACCGCATTATGTTGCAAGTGCTGTAAAACTCTTTCTAAGACTAAAAACTAAAAAAACTGAGACCAAAGAAATGTGTAGTTTTGTTGTGACGATGTTTGTCTCTAATTCTGAAGCGCAGTTTCTTATTTTGTTGTTTCACAATGAACTGATGGGGAGTTTGACATATCTCTGTACTGTTTCATTTTTTAAGTGTGGAAGTCAATGTGTGACTTTGTCAGTTGTCAGGCTCACAATTTATGAAAAAGGGACTGCTTCTACATCGAAGTGTTTTAGTTTCCTTTATCAAATGAATGGCACTGTTTTTCTATAAGCATTGCGAGTTGTGCTTTTAAAAATGTTCAATGTTGCTGATGTCCTTTTATTATTAGAATAAAAGATGGAATATGTTCTTACACAAACTAGAATGTCGAATGACAAATGAGTCCAAAAAATTTTACGTATCATGTGTTGAAGAACACAAATTACACTGAGTGGGTTGGCTTTGTAAATATTAATTGAATCCTAAGTTGTTGTTTTTTTACACCAGATTTGAGGGCATAAAGCAGAATCTGTAGCACCAAATATATATTTTGCACTTATTATAAGCTTTTAAGTAAAAAAACTTCAATCATGCATCTCAAAACAACAGACCATTTTAAGAGTACCCCATGAGTAAGCAAAGTAAGGTGTAAGCGGGACTCAAACTGAGGGTTGTTTGGAGAGATTCTGACCTTTTATTTGATAGGCAGCACTCCAACATTAACAGAATACTGAAAGGAGAGATTGTGATCTAAATTTTGCGTTAAGTCTGGACATCCATTGACTTATTAATCGCCTGGCAGTGTAAGAGAGGACAAACCACCCATGACTTAATATGCTTCTAGGAGAGGGAAACTTAACAGTTATTAGTAAAAGATTGCTTTATGGATATAGATTTATCATATGCCATTGTTTGTCTTGTTACATGACTGTCGACTGTTATGTTGTCCTGAGACCATCCTTATGTCATTTTGAAATGTCTTCAAATCTTTCCCTTTTTACTTTAGGATACTGCCATAAGCTCCTCCGATGAAGACAGCGAGGAAGAGGTGCCAGTTTTGAAACAACTGATGTTGGAGATTGGAGTTGAAGAGAAACCGCCTGAGTCTGAAGAAGAGAGTGATAGTGATGATGGTGAAGAGCAGGAGGAGGATATTGGTACTGAAGTTGATAATGAAGAGGAAGAGGAGGAGGATGATTCAGATGCCGAAAGTGACCATGAAGGAGAGGATTTAGCAGAGGATGGAGAAGCTGATTCAGGGGACACAGATAATAATGATGAAGACCAGAATTCCAGTTTTAATTTGTCTGAGAAAGACGAGGAGGACAGTGATGCAGATCGTAATAATTTGAAACACTCAGATTGTGAGGATGAAAAGCACACTGATGAAATAGGTTTGTATTTCATTTTAACAAATTCTTTTTAGTCACTTGAAGCTAGGCATTTTCTAGCAGGTACAAAAAATATGGGTATTTTTAAAAAATACTGTACACTTTTTTCAAACTTATTGTGTTTAAAAAAAGTAAAACTACTAAGAATGAAGTCAGAATAAACATGAATTATTCCTTGTGCTTCTAGAATAAAAATTATGTCCCCTTCTTTGTAACCAGTTCAACGTTAACGTCAGTAGGGTTGATTTTTTTCTGGAACAGAGTCATTATATCCGCAAATTGAGTATGAAAGCATCTGTCATGTACCTCACTGTGTACCTCAGGTGTGGCCATACCCTGGTGTCATCGCTTCGAAAACACTGACAACATGGTCTTTTGTGCTTTCATATCTTGACTATTGTTGTTCTCTTTTGTCTGGCTTTTCTGAAGAAACCAAACTCCAGTGTATTCTGACTGATCAGTGCTGTGCTATAAGACGAGTGTAAAAAGATATCATAACATGGTTATGTCACTGCATACCACATAAAGTTAGATGGTCTTCAAACTGGAATTGTTTATTTATTAATTTGAAGGTGCAATATGCCACTTTCTATGCTATAATCATGGAAATTCTTGCCCTCTGACACCTTGATAAGCAGATCATACCTGTCAGAAGTTGCATATACAATGATGTGGAGAAGGCACAATTACACTTTCTGTTCCTCCGTGATGGACACCCTTCCAGTGGAATTACTGTCTACTCATTGCTTAAAGTTAGAGACCTTCAAACAAAGGTTGAAAGGAAGCTTTCTTCATAAACACTTTTTTTGCAATTACTAGTTTTTCTCATCTTGTCTTTGTGGAATAAGGTTACATGTGCATGTCTGAACGTCAGAGAGAATAATAAAAGTGCCTACTTTAGTGTGTGCAGTAACAGTTGAAGGGGTGTGTGTGGTAATACCTGTAGTATGTTTGTATGGCTCTTTTCGTCTATGCAGACGGTCAATTTAGCTTAAGATGGTCTCAAGGTTGTCTTCATGCAGCTTCTTTCATGGCTAATTCTTCCTATGTTTGAAGCGCAGATTCTGTCGTGGTGCTTGCATATCAGTGTCGTAGATCGAAGCTCTGTATTTCCGCTTTTTTCCTTTCGTCTTTGGCGCTTCTCTGCCTGGTTGTTTCTAAGGCTGTTCTGTAGCATTTTAGTTCTTTCATTTGTAATTTTCCTCCCTGTTTTCCGGTCCTCGGCTATTTTTTCCCAGATGTTAAAATCTACTCCAAGCTTAGATAAGCTGTTTTTGCAGGTGTCTTTGTACCTCAATTTTGGTCTTCCTCTTTGTCTCTTTCCCTGGGCAAGTTCTCCATAGAGAAGTTGCTTCGGAATCCGGTTGTCATCCATTCTCTTGACATGGCCAAGCCATCTCAATCTTTTTAAACACAGGATAGTTGTCATGCTCTGGAGGTTTGCCTGTGCCAACACTTCAACATTTGTAACCTTGTCACGCCACGAAATGCCTAAGATCTTGCGGCAGCATCTGAGATGGGAAATGTCAAGGCGCTTTTCTTGTCTTCTGTATAAGGTCCATGCTTCAGATCCATAAAGGAGTGTGCTGAGGACACATGCTTCGTAAATCTTGATCTTTGTTTTGATGGTTAATCTTTTGTTTTCCCATGCTCGTTTTGTCAGCTTTCCAAAAGTTGTTGCTGCTTTCCCTATCCTGATGTTGATCTCATAATCAAATGATGTTGTAGAGCTGATGGTAGACCCCAGGTAACAGAAGTTGTCCACTGTCTTAAGTTCTTTGTCATTCAGCCATATATGGCTCTGCTCTGCACCTTCTTGGGTAAGGATGACTGTTTTCTTAACACTGATGACCAAGCTAAAGACCTTGCATGCTGTTGATAGGCGGTCCATCATTGTTTGTAGGGTTGATTCACTGTGAGCAACAAGAGCAGCATCAACGGCGAAGAGAAGGTCTCGTACTGTTGTTTTGTTAATCTTGGTCTTGGCCTTGAGTCGAGCAAGATTGAAGAGCAACCCATCGGTTGTCCAGTGGAGGAAGACATCCCCTGGTGACTCTTTGAATGCGTATTGCAGTAGGACAGCAAAAAAAGTGCTAAAAAGAGTTGGTGCTAAGACACAACCTTGCTTTACTCCGATATTGATGTTGAAACTGTTTAATGTTGAACCGTCAAGCTGAATGGTGGCTTTCATATCTTCGTGGAATGAGATGATGAGCTGTAAGCAGTATTGGGGGACAGCCAATTTTTCCAAGCACCATGTACAGTCCTGATCTACTGACTGTATCAAAAGCCTTTGTCAGATCGACGAACGCAGTATGTAATGGCAGTCGTTGCTCCCTGCATTTTTCTTGTAGCTGATGAATAGAAAAGATCATGTCCATTGTTGAGCGGTTTGATCTGAAACCGCATTGGCTCTCTGGTAGGACTCTTCCTGCTAGTTTCTGAAGTCGCTTCAGGATGATCCTAGCGAAAGCTTTTTCAGTGACGCTTAGCTGTGAAATACCTCTGTAGTTCTTGCAATCTCTTCTGTCCCCTTTGTTTTTGTAGAGTGTGGTGAATTTGGCATCTCTCATGTCATGTTGAATTTCTGCTTTCAGCCAACAAGTCGTTAGTAGCTTGTAGAGATATGAGAGGAGAGTCTCTTTGTTCTCTTTCAGTACTTCAGCAGGTATGTTGTCATTTCTTGCTGCTTTTCTGCAAGCGAGTTCATCGATTGCAGAGGAGAGTTCTTCTTCTGTTGGTGTTGTATCATGTTCTGACATTTCGGAGAGCTGAGGAATGGCTTCATGTAGCTTTCTATCAACATGTCGCTCCTCTGAGTATAAGTCTGAATAATGTTCCACCAATCTTTCCATTTGTTTCTTCTTGTCTGTCAGCTGTTCACCTGTCGCAGACTTTAGAGGTGATTATGTTTGTACTGTGTGTGATTATATGTTCAATAAGATGTGTTGCTGTAATTGTAAATCCAAATGAACAGTGTACTAGTTTGATTCACTGATAATTTGTTTTTGACACATTGTGACTTTTGACTAGCTTTCTTGAAACAATGCATTGGAGAGATTTGTACTCTAAGAATAATCTTGTTTTTTCTTCTTTGATGTCTAGGACCAAAGGAAATCGATGAAGCAGAGGATGAAAGTGATGAAGAACAAGAGGAAGATGATTTATGTCTTAAAGAATCTGGTATGCAACGATTTGTCTGTGTTTGTCCTGTATAGCATAGTCGCAATATAATCTAAATTTTGGCATTTACTTTTTCTTCCTTGATTTTTGTTACATATTTACATTTGCACGTTTTCTTAATCTAGGTTGGCCATGACTGGCAGGATAAAGGTAGCCCACCTCCTAAATTACCTAATTTGTATTGATGGGGTTACAAACATGTGCACTTACAATTATAATAGTAGCTCACTGCACATGATGCATCTCCTTGTTTCTGTTAAATGTTCACGCATGTAAGATGAAGATATTGTTTCTAAACTTTCAGATCCTTTCACAAAGCACTTTGAAGAAGAGCACGACATTGAGCGTATCACTGAGGGCAATTCTGTCAAGTGGAAAAAGTCTGCTGTGAAGGTAGAATGTGAAACAAAGGACGGGTTGGTCTGTGCACCTGTTTCTTTATCTGTTTTGTTTGTTTTTTGTCAGCCAGCAGTGACTTTTATAGAGGTGCAGCCGAGTTCATTTGGGGGGGTAAACACACTAATTCAAGTTTTTTAATGGATTTGGGCTGAGGTATTTTCTTCAACACTTTGCCACAACAGGACGCCGATTGGCGACCGTAAGAAGCCACCTCTGGACGCTGATCGGTAATAGTGTAATATCACAACAAAAATGTGGGAATGATCTTCTTTTAGACATACACATTTCTTTAAGTTATAACTTCCTTTCTGAATAGTAATGTGTGGCCTTTGAGTGCAGAAATCAGTTTTTTACAACAATTAGAGTGTAAATGTTTGAAAAATGTATAGTTGATCTAGCATGAGTGCTGCTTTAGTGTTGACACGATGAGGATTTGGGTGGCAGATGTAATAAATCTAGTTTTTAGTTTCAGCTCTGATTCGTATTTTAATGATCATGCTATCATCACATTCAATTTTTTCAAGTGTTTTGAAAATTTATATTTTTTGCCGAGATATGGCTATGCGCTCTGCATGGGTAAAAAGTGTTAATGAAGCTGCACTGTAAAAAAAATTAGTCCCAAAAAATTAGTCCCTTTTCAGGTTAAAGATGAATAAACTAATAATGTTTACTGGTATCAGCCTTTTCGCCATTGTACATTGTAAATGGTGTTAATTTTTTTCTGATTTTTGTGTTGTTGAATGTTTTTCTCTGAAGATTATGTTACAGACACTTTCTTCTGTTATTGACAAAGAAACTCTACTGTGAAAACTACTACAATGTTTCTTTTCATGCCTGAAGGTACCTGGCCTTGGAGCCAGTACGCTGATGTATCAAGATGCTGACCTATTGGCTGACGTGAATGCTGACTCAGATTTGAAGAAATTGCACGTATGTTGTTTAACTTGTATTCTTTTAGGTTGTCAATAATCCTTTTGGTTGATGAAAAGAAAAAGACTACTGTACACTAGAAGGGTATGAAGTCCCTAATGTTAGTGGTAGGTCAGATGCCTCAGAAGAGAAGCATAAAAGATAAAGAGAGATATAACCAGGTGGAAGCAAAGGGACTGATGTGAACAATAGCCTTCATACACTGTATATTTAAGCAGTGGGGTATGTGGTTTTCCTCCTCGTCAAGATGCCCTGCCATGCTACCAATAAGCATAGCTGTCTCCCTTAGGCACCTCCTTGTTCATGCACAAACACAGGATAAGTAAGAAGAAAAGCCTGTCAAAGACTAGAGCAGGGCAGGAGGAAAAGATTCCGAGGCCATGTGACTGGTTTAGGTGTGAATAGGGTAGAACAGGATGACTGATTTAGGTGTGAGTAGACTCTTTTGGATGAGAGATGTGACGAGACAGATTTGGATGTGAATAGGGTATATGTGTTGTGAGGGGGTGAAAGCTGAGGGGCAGTTTCTCTGGCAGTATCTGGTGTCTGCCAGGAGCATTTTGTTTGAAAACTCACAAGACCAATCACAGAGTAATGGATGGGGTCTTTTTCATCTCCTAAACAACCACATTTTGTATGCCTCACAAGTTTGTCTTTATTGCTACAACTAATTTTGTGTGTGTGTGTTCGTTTTCTATTTTTTACTTGTTTCGTACATCATAGTCATAGCATCTAGAATCCATTCTAAAAATCTCGCCCCACCCTCAACACGTTATGGAGAATTCTGTGCATCTCCTGGCTGATCAGAATGTTTTGAATACGTTATTGAAGTCTCGGGATTGTTTTGGTCAGAGGAAATTGTGCTCTCATAACTCAAGAATCTGTACAAATTTATTCTTCTCGACTTAATACAGGGTAAATTTTCAGAAAGGAACATGTTTCATATTGTTTCTGTTGTGGTAGGTTCCTGCTCTATGCAGGTTTGATTCATACCATTTTGTCATGGGGGTGAGTTCCCACCTTAAATAGGCTGGTGGAACTATGTTTTTGGTCTTTGGGACTTTTTTGACAATGTGTTTTATCATTTATATACATCTCAGTGATTGGGGTATTTATATTCGTTCTGGAATAAAAACAAAAACAAAAACAAAACAAAGTTCATAGTTCCAACTTCCAAACATATGTGAAGTGTATGGAAAGGGGATGGACCACTGCTGTAGTTGGTACAGATCATGTCATAGATGGAGGGTTCTCTGTTGTAGGGCACTTATCAGTGGTAGGCTCATCTTTTTTATCGCAGGTCAAGCAAAAACTGATTGATCAAATTGGAGTGGCCAATGCACAACATTGCAATGTGAATTCAGGTAAGTTTAAAATAGTTTTTCTAACATTTGTATTAGCCCTTTGTCTCCGATTTATTTTATTTTCATCCCTGCGACTGAATTTAATTTTGCTCAATCAAAATGGAGCACAGGGTCACGTACATAGTGGGCTATAATTTATCGCCACGTTAAGCTACAACAGTGTTTTGTGTCTCTTTAGGAAGGGAAATGAGATGAAGCAAAGTGCTGGGCCAAAATCTCTATCAAATTGTAATTCCAGGCAGTAAGACAAACCAGACAGAGAACAAACAGTGCAAAAAACTGTCAAATTTGCAAATTACCAACAAAGTAAAAATATAAAGTTGTAAGGAAATATTTTTATGCGCGATTTATTCAATCTACATTCACTTCTGAATGTGCATGTCACTTTTCATCGTAAAAAGATAATTATTCACAAAGGTTCTGCCAATTTTGTGCAATCAGCTAAGCTTAGAAACTGTTTCCATACAGCCACAAACTGGAACAATGTCCCATTGAAAACCAGGTCTTTTCATTCCAAATATCGACAAACCATTTGAACAAACACCCTTGGGAGAAAATCTAGCATCTGTGTATAGAATACTAGTCATACTATGAATGCACTGGGTCATTTTCTGTGTTTTTTGGAAGTAAACTATTGCGTTCTTATTTGTCAGTGACATCGGCCACTCTTTCGAACGTGACCATCTCACTTGATGGTGCTACCGGCCACATGGAGGGGCGGGGATATTATATGGGTGGTTGGCGGGTGCTCTTGTGTGGTTTGTTCTTTCTTTCCCATCAAATATCTTATCATCCATATCTCTCCTTTTTTTTTTCTTAAATATTTTTTTTATTACTCTCTCGTAACACCTCGAATCTTCAACACTGATATGACTTAACATGTTACAAGTGCAGCAAAACGCTTGCTAAAACAAAAGACAGGTTTGTCAAGTCATTAAGCAATGAACACTGCAGCAAACTAATCTTTGTTTGAAATGTTTGACATACAAAACAAAGAAATGATGGTACCTGTATTTCTCCATACCTTTTGAATATCTCTCATTTTATTCTTTCTTTCCTTTTCTCTTTAAGGAGCACTACGTCCACAACAACACAAGCTTTTTCAAGTGCTCAACTCGTATCAAGATTTGCTATTCCCAAAGCAGACCTTTCACAACACAGAGGAAATCAGGCTGGTCTATTGTCTTCATGCTCTCAACCATGTTTTGAAGTAAGATTTTCTGTTTAATGATATTAGCTCAGATAACCTTTATATGTTTTTTGCAAAACTTTCAACATGATATCAATTTTTCCACTAGTTACAAAACTAAAAGTGTTTTCTCTCCTCTTATTCCTCTCTGACCAAGAGTCACACTATGTCTGTCAACTATTTTTCTGTCTTGGAAAATTTCCCTCACTCTTTAAGTGGAGGTGGGTGGTTGGCGGGTGCTCTGGTGTGGTTTGCTTCTTCTTTCCTGTCAAACATCTATCGTCATTGTCTACCCGTCTTCTTTTTTATGTTTGTTACTCTCTTGTAACACCTCTAATCTTCTGGCGCTCATATGGCCTTATGCAGTTGCAAGCGCCGTAAAACCTCTACTAAAACTTTTTTTAAAACTTTAATTGGAGGTCACGGCCAATAGGTCGTAGCTCTTTACTCTCCCTCTGTGCACCTTTTGTGTTTTGCTTTTTTCCTAGCAGTAATTTACTGCTGTCCTGTCGATATGCTTTTTCATGCTCAAAACCAAGAAAATTCATTCTTTGTTCGGAGAGAGGGGGGAGAGTGAGCTATTGAAGGAATTTACAGAACCTATGTTCAGGCCTTTTCTGTCTCATTCATAGGTTTTCAGCCAACTGTTAATGAACATTTTAACATAGCTATTTTCAAGTAATTTATTAACCACTACTCTTTGGCTATACTTCAAGAGATGTATTTATCTTGTTTAGTTATGGTATTGTTTCTTGCTCTTCCTCCTTTGCCCAAAAAGTTATTTTCTTTATTCTTAGAGCAAGGAGTCGTGTAATGTCCCACAATGCGAAGATGAAAGCCAAAAAAAAGGCAGCTGATGAAGAGTGAGTTTGTGTGTTGTACAATCATGGAATTCCTTTGTTTGGCTATCACTGATAGTGCTGAGCAATCGAAATTGTTGCAGGTTGTGCCGGATAAATGTGACAGATTTTGTTGAGATTGAGAATTTTAAAAATATATATTGCTTGTTCCAAATCTGAAAGTTTGAAAGGGTTATTTGCTTGTGTTTATAAAAAGGCATAGACTTAAATTATATCTTTCATCTTACTTTTACTGTTAACATCTTTTGTTAAATGTCTTCCTACATAAATGTGTTTCATTGGAATTATACAATCTTGTCAGCTTTACTTGTGAAATTTATTAAGAAAAATTCACTTTTAAATGTCTCAGTTACTGCAGATTTAGTAAAATGGATGTCCATGTTTCCAGCTGTACAACAAACCATACTCTGAACAGTGTAGGAAATAATGAACTTTCTTTGAGGCTCTCACTAATTTTGTTGTTGAGTTTGTACAAATAGCCCACTTGTTTTTGTACATCCTGATGGTGTTGTCCCTTATTTTCCCCTCAGTGTGGAGTACAGAGATCAGGGCCTCACCCGGCCAAAGGTACTCATCCTGCTTCCCTACAGGGACCGAGCGCTCAAAGTGGTGAAAATGTTCATCACCCTTCTTTCTTCCTCCAAGGTGAGTTAAGAAAACTGATACTTTGCAAATGTTTCATGGTAGTGGTTCATTTAAACCTTTTGACATGATGATTTCACTTGTTATGTGGTGGGTGTAATCGTATGGTGAGAAAAGCTTTAAGATGTGACTCAAAGTGTAAGACTTCAAACTGTAGATCTATATTCTTTCTAATGCCAAGTTTACAACTGTATGCAAGTCACTTGATGGTTGCAAAAGCTCTAAGCTTTTTGTAGGCAGTGACTTCAAGAAAAGTCCGCTGTAGAATTTACGAACAAGTCCTTCACTGTAGACTTGCCCTTATAATAATTTTTCAAGTCTTTCCAGCTGTACTAAAGTCAGTCGGCAGCAGTAGCTGATGAACTCTTTGGGCTGCAAGACGCAAGAGCTGTGGGCCTAATTAAGAGAACAGTGTCACTTAACTAAAAGAAGAAGGGTAGACCACACCAGAGTGCTCAACAATTCTATCTCCTAAACTTGCTGAGCATCTGTATGAACAAATTTTACACAACAAAGATATTTTTTTCCTTTTTATACAATTTCATTATTTAAAATGACCTTATTTCTTTTTGCTTTTCTTTCTTCCCACAGGTTAAAGTCAGTAGTCTAAAGAGATTTGAGAGTGAATTCTCTGAACTGGAAAAATCTGGTCTTGCAGAGAAGTCATACAAACCAGGTATGGTGATCAGTGGTCACTTAGCAGCAGTAATTTCACTTTAGATAGATTTTACTAAAGTCTGAATATCATAAGTTGAACTATATAAGCCGGATTACAAACATTGCACATCGTTAGTGGATATCTCTAGCATGACTTCAGTTATTTCTATCCATATGTTGCTATTTATTTCCTTTCTGACCCTCATTTGAATTGAGAAACAAAGTATAATTTACATACCTTGTAGAGATACAAGTGGTTTTTTAAAGTATCTGCAGAGTTTTGTGGTAAAGTGACATATGCATCAAATTTGGATTTACCACCAAATTCTTTTGTCATTCTGTTATGACCACCAAAAAAAAGTTTCAAATGGTACAAAAGTATGTATTTGTTTGGTACAACGGACAAAGTGACACTCTAGTTTTTAATACATAATGGCAAAAAAAATTGACTTCTCTTTAGATATGTCATTATTTCTAAAATAGACAATAGATTTTTCGGGTGTTGTGAATTCAAGCCCACTGTGCAACGTTTTTAGATTGCAAATATTGTTTTTGTCAAAGTGGTTCAAGACATTTCACTACAAGCTTTTAATGTAATTCCTTGAAGATTTTAGTTCTTTCATGCATATACATAGAGCCCAATAAAACCCAGTTATTTTATTGCTAAGCCGCTTGGTATTTGATCACTTTTCTGGATAGAATGTCAAATTTTTCAGTTTATGTCTTGAACCAAACTCAATCCTCTTGATTGCATCCAGGAAGTTACCTGCGAGGTTACTGATGTACAAAGTCCATTGTGTGTTATTTCCTAAACAAGGAAATGACTTCACTTTGTTTAATGTAGTTAAATTTGCAAAGATCCCGCTTGTCAAGAATGCAATAGACTTTTTATTTTCTTATCAGCTGATGCAGCTCTTGTTATGAAAATCTAGACCTTAAATAAGTATGATACAGTGGAATGAGAAATCAGTTGCTGGTCAAGATATTTACTGCTATCTCAAACCTTACTAGTATCACTACAGTTCTCTGGCCCAAGTTTAATTTGATGATAGTGCAAGCCTTTCTTTTTTTGTGTGTGTGTTTGTGTATGTTGAAAGATTCATAAAGTGTACATCATCTCATCTTATTACCCATTAGATGACTTCAAGAAAACCTTTGAGGGTAACACAGATGACAACTTTCGAGTGGGCATGAGTCTGTCCAAGAACACATTGCATCTGTACAGTCCTTTCTATGAGTCAGACGTCATCCTCGCTTCACCACTAGGTCTCAGAGCCATCATTGGCCTAGAAGGGTAAGTGGAAAGTCAGGCTGTCTCCTACCTGAGGGACAATGAAGCTGGTCACTGTAGCACAGTTGGCTCTGAAGAAGCTAATCTAAGAGCAAGCAAAATCTTCTTGTCCATCTTAGTACAGTTCTTTTCAGCGCAGAGTTGCCCTTTGTGTCATGCTGTGCCTTCACACAAAAGTAGTGTTTTCAGTCATGAGAGTGAAATTTTCCATACCGTTACTGTCGACTTTGGGGTTGGAGAGCTGCATGCATATACTGATACTGTCAGCGTTAGGGCTGGCTGAGTTAAGTTTGCATTTCAGTTGTAGACACCGAATATTTTACCTCATACGGCACAAAAATACAAGACAAGACTTAAAAGTAGTGAGATATAAAATTTGGTTTTTACTACGAATTCTACAATTTTGTGGTCCCATTTTCACATTTAACAGGACAATGTCCTTTTTAACGAGTACATGATGCTGAATTTTATTGCAGGGTAGATTTAGTGTTGAGCCGTAAATCAATCTCATATTTGTCCTTTCATCTCAACTATAAGTAGAAAATGGACCAAGAGTACTTTTAGCTGAATCTCATCAAGATCTGTGGCTATGTTTTATTTTTAAAATGAAATTCGGTTATCAGTTCTTTTTCTTTTTCCTTTCTGCTATTTTTATTTTCAGCTTTGCAAATGACTTGAAATTCAATTCAATGCGTTCACCCATTTGCAATTTACACATTTATTGTTGGAGCAGAGCTGTCATTAGAAATATTCTTTTGTATTTTCTTTGATTAGGGACAAAAGCCGTGACTTTGACTTCTTATCATCCATTGAGGTGCTTCTCGTGGATCAGACAGACATTTTCCTGATGCAGAACTGGGATCACTTCGCAGTGAGTTTTGATACATGACATTATTGTCACAGGTGAATTTTTAAAAATAGCGTTTCCAACCAATTTTGCATCGGGTACAACAAATGTTTGAATTTATTGATTGAAATATCTTTTCAAAATCTTATGTCAGCATTCCTCTGTAGAGGAATCAACGGGAAGGTAAGCTGTAAAGATGTCACAATAAAACGCTGACTAATTGAAAATACTTTCTATGGATCAAAATAGCTACATGTGTCCCAGATTTTAACCCTTTGATTCTTAGTCACTATGAATAGCATATACAAGGCAGAACTAAGGAGGATATGGCTGTATTTGTATTGATATAGACGAACGTGAAAGATTCCTGCTTGACACGTAGTACCAGAATTCTCATTTAACATGTCAGGTTAGCCCCCGTGTCGCGACCTTGGTGCTTTCTTATCGTATCTCCTTTTTTAATAACAATGAAAACAGTTCATAACAAAGAGTGAGCCTCATAAAGAAGTCTCATTTTCACTGTTTAAAAAAAATGGAAATTCAATAAAAAGGCACTGAGGCCCCGATACCGTGCCGTTTTTGATGCACAAGCAGTGCTTGCATTTAATGCCCCTCACAACTAACTTGACTTTCTTCAAGGGTAGTCCTTTAAAAAAATATTAGGTTTCTGTTTGATGAATTTGTGATATTTTAAGAGCAGGCTGCTTACAAGACATTAGAGGATGATGTAAGCCCATCAGTTGGTACGTTCCCTTACTTCTATTCTGGACACTGCACTTTTTGTTCATAACACATTAATGAAATAAAAAGAGTTTTGCTCTGAGAATATATATATATATATATATATATATATATATATATATATATATAAAATATATAAAGTCATTCATTTGTTCTGTAGCTTTGAGATAGGCATACAGTTTATTTTAAAGAATCAAAGATCTTTCTCTTTCAGTCAGTAAAATTTGCTTTCTTTTTCTGAATTTTTTTACAGCATGTCCTCAAGCATCTACATTTGCAGCCTCGAGAATTTCATGGAGTCGATTTTTCAAGGGTCAGAATGTGGGCGATCAATGGATGGTGAGAATATTAGTTTTTTTGCGACCAACTACTGGTCAGTGGTTTCATACTGGTACCGATCAGCTATGACAGTGACCTCATCCTTGAACTAAAAGGAGCCAATAATGTCCATGTGACTCATTGCCATTCATGATGTGGCTTTAAGTGTATGAAGATTCAACTTCATCAGGCCTCAATGATCTCTTAATAACATAATTTTTAAACATCAGCATACCCGTTCAAATGAAAATAATATTTGTTGCTGAACCAAACATTTTTAATGAAGTGATCATCTTCCTTGTGCTTATTCAATAACCACTGGCACATTGTCCATCTTTCCTTTGCAATAGGTGGCTAATATATGCTGATGTGTCTGAATGCAGTACGCTTTTATTCCTAAATCACGTTTAACTATTCTGTAAACTGAGGTCTGGGAAATGTTCAATTCAGCACTGTGACACCTAGCTGACTAATTTTCTGTGCTCTCAACACGGAATCATCCACATGTGCAACATTCTTGTCGGTGAGAGCACCGAGAGGGCGCCCCAAAATGAGTTTTTCTCAGTGTAGTCTTTTTATGACCACTCTCAAGCTGGAGAATATGTGTGCCCAACAGGCTTTTTAACTTTCAGATTTAATTTTACAGTTTCTGGACTGTCGATCAATCCCTAAAAGAGCTCAGAAAGAGGCCCTAGCTGCCTTTAGGGATCCAGTTTTATGATAGGATTAAAAACGAGAGACTTTTCTGTCCTGTTTCACTCCACAGTGACAGCCGAATGCAGGATCAAAATATAGCATGCTATGTAATGTGCATAGTTCATTGAACTTCTGTTTAGTTTGAGGGACAAATTTTTAAACCATTGGACTTATGGAATATTTTGTGGTAGACAAGATTTTTTTAGAACAGCTAGTATTACAATTACCAGACAATGCATTGCTTTGCAAAAAAGGCAATCACCTCTTTGGCTAACTCCTTGCTGTTCTTTGAACAGAATAACTCACTGTTTATTTGTTATTGGTTGCTCAGCAAATGGGAGTGAAGATGTTAAATTTCTGAGTTCCTATTGTGTGGAATAGGTACTATCTAAACCAACAGTTTGAAATCTTTTTTGCTTTAGGAAGTATCACCATGAGTAACTATATTATGTTGTTTGAAGCAGTGCCGCCGATCAGAATGTCTTGTGCATGTGTGCTTTCCCCCTTTTTGTAAAAGTATCATGTTGGCAATTTCTTATTTCAGGAGCAAATTCTACAGACAGACTGTCATCTTTTCAAGCGTCATCCTCCCGGAAATTTTGACAGTTTTCAACAAATCGTGTCACAGTATCCTTTTACTTTGCTGAGTCAAGTTTTTTCCAGAGACAAAATTCTTGAAGTTCTTCATTTTGATGATGTGTTTGGATATTCTGGATATTCCATAAGTGTAATGGTACAGTCCTTGTGTACCATGCCAAAGTACATGATTTGATCATTTGCTTGTGCAGGAATGATCTATTGACAACTTTTTATGTCATGTCAGGTTCTGGCACCATTGTTTGTACAGCACATGCCATCAAAACTTGTCTCTTCTCTGTTATGGATGAGACCCCTGGAGGTCATATAATATACTGGTTACTACATCTTGGCAACTGAAAGTGAAATAAGGGCACACTTGTTGTATCTATCTGCCAGGGCAAAGCTCAGCATTTATCTTTACATAGATCAGAGCAAGCTCAGGTCAAGTGAAGTAAGAAAGAGTATTTACACAAATTGTTTATTGCTGTCTGAAAGGCCCCAGAAGGAAAGTAAGCCTTGTTCTCTTTATCTTGCCCACTGTTGAGACTTGGGGAAGAAAAACATTTCTATTCTCAAATGAGTTGTTTGTTTTTGGGGGTTGGTTGTTGTTTCTTTATAAAGCAATGATATTTATTCCTTAACATTGAACAGATTTTGCTGGGAAGGTGAAGGTTCACAGGGACACAGAAAAGGGAACAATTCAATCTAGTCTATATGATTCACCTCAGGTTTGGAATTTCCCGTTGCAATTTAAATATTGTACTATTGATCGTTACTATAATATAATATATGCGTTAATATGAAGTCCTCTGTGAACTTAGGAGTAAAGATTGGAGCCACATAAAAGAATTTACTGATAGGGATTGAGGTACCACACCTGTCTCAGTTAATTCCCCTTCTTGCCCCTAACCAGTATCCCTACCCTATCAAAGCCCAAGCTTGATATTACTTTTGACCTCATACTGTGGAGATATCCATTCTTACATTAAATGATTTGATCATGCAAGTATGAGAGAGTTGTTTGTGTATAAGAGTGGCCAAAGCTGGAGTCCTGATATTCTTGTTATTTGGGAAGGGTTTAAAAAAAAATATTTAAGAATCTGATTTTAGGTTACCCAGGGATTTTGTTTATCTTACTTTAAACTGAATTGTATGGCGTCCTGTTTTTCACTTCTTATCAATGATGTTTTAGATGCTGGACAGTATGTTGGTATTAATCATTCACCCTTCTCAGCAGTGTTGGTCACTGTAATGTAAATGTAAACAACTTTGTTTTAGACTCACTCCTAGTCGATCATTCTTTGTTAGAGAATTTAATCCGGAATTGAATATTGGTCTGTTCTATAAAGTCATCATAACTTGAAAAATAGAAGGCTCACGGCTTTCATGGGTTTTAAACCCCTTCATTGTACATTTTTAAGGGGATTCTTATATGAATTCACAATTATTATTTTTCTCTCTCTCAGAACTCTCTCTCACTCTCATATTTTTCCAGTTCTTCCACCGAGTGGCCTGTGACTCTTTGGATGGACTTTCACAGAGACAAGCAAAATTTGAATATTTGAAGAAAAAGGTAAAGGGAAATTACACCTTGTCGTGTTTTGTGGTCCTAACCTTTCTGCAACTTATGTTGTAAGGTGATAAAACTACTTTATGGAAAAGAGGACTTCGTAAAGGGGACTCTTTTTATATGGTAAGGGTGCCCATCATTGATGCATGTTGACATATATGCAATGTGATATTTATGTATTGTCTCATTGTTTAGAAGACTGTGATCACCAATCGACCAGGGTTATAAAAATTATCAATTTACAAAAGATTTATTGACTGGTCTAGAGGTCAGGTCAGCCTAGTGCTGCTACCATAATGACAGTAGATGGTACTACCTGCAGCTGTTCCTACTGCCTTGTAGGTGCATACGGGAGTATGAAAGGTTAAGGGAGTAAACCCTAAACAAATCCGGAGGGAGGGCCCCTTAGGCAGTCGACAGGGAGGAACGATCCAAACTGTCTTCTGGCAGCCCCTGCAACTTTACTGGTTCCAAAGTTGACCTTATCTCTCCTTTGGACTAAATCAGCTAAGTCGAGAGGGGGCTCGTGCAAATTGGGCAAGGCATGTTCTCCATACAGTCAGGCTCAGGCATTTAGCTTAATCAAGATTTCGAGATTTCTGGGAGGACGCTGCAAAAGAGCAAATACAGCGGATCAGACCCACAGTTCAACCACAGCTACAACAGCATTTATATGATTACAGAGAGGACACTCCATCCTTGAGGTGACGAGCAAGGGAAAAAACACGGGAGGTGGCAGTTTACGGGTTATAAGACATCCTTATTTGGCGAGACAGGATGTCGCCACGGGGCACCTTTGACGATGGGAGTGACTATTCAGTCGCACTGATCAGCTACCGCCCCGTCTCAAACTCGGCAGCCCCCAGTCAGTAAGGTGCTGATCCGCCACGTCTGTTTGCTTCTATGGGTGTATGGGGATAGGACAAAAACCGAAAGGCAGACGTTAAATCCAGCACCAGGCAAAAAAAGAGTAAAACTGACCCCATGGAAACTGGGAACCTGGAATGTTAGAACAATGACAACGGGATTGGACACTACAAACCTGGAGAAAACAGAGGACATCAGAAAGACAGTAATCATAGACAGGGAGCTCACACGACTCAATGTAGACATCACTGCCCTGCAAGAGACAAGACTTGCTAACTCTGGTACCATCAGGGAAAGAAACTACACATTCTTCTGGAAGGGTCTTGGGGAAGATGAGAGGAGAATCCATGATGTGTGCTTTGCAGTACACAACAGATTGTTGAACAAGATCAGCATCTCTCAAGGTATATGCGAGCGTATCACTGTCATGGAAATGGAAACCAGAACTGGAAAGGCTCACTTCATCAGCGCCTACGCCCCAATCCTAACAACAGAAAATGAGGAAAAAGACCAGTTTTACAAGGAACCTCAGGATGCAATCAACAACGTCCCAAAAGCAGACCAACTGTTTCTCATGGGCGACTTCAATGCAAGAGTAGGTACTGAAAACAAAGTATGGCCCACCTGCCTTGGACCTTTTGGGCTGGGAAAAATCAACGAGAATGGTCAGAGACTCTTAGAATTCTGCACAAATAACAACCGTTGCATCACTATCACCTTCTACAATGGCAAGGACAGACACAAGGTTTCTTGGTGCCATCCAAGATCAGGCCATTGGCATCAAATTGACTTCATCATCGTCAGGAAGAAAGATGTCAACATGGTAAAGCAAACAAGATCCGTCTACAGTGCAGACTGCAACACAGGCCACCTTTTGGTTACAGCTAAGGCAAAGATACTCACAAAGAAAACACCAAGAGCTGAAAAACAAAAGAAACCTAAGATCAACATAAGAAATACCAAAGACCCAGCGTTAAAGGCAAAATTTCAACAACATGTTAAAGAAGAGCTCCAACATCTAGATAGCTCATCCCCAGACAACATGTGAAATAGCATGAGATCAACAATTTATAATTCTGCGTCGATTACTTTTGGAATAGAAAGACCTTGCAAGGAGGACTGGGTTGAAGCCAGTGCATCAACACTCGCACCTCTACTCAAGAAAAAGCGTAAGATCCTGATAGAACACAACGCAAATCCAACAGAGAGTACAAAGCAACAACTACGTGCCACTAAATCCAACCTTCAAAGAGAAACCAGAAAGTGTGCCAATCAGTACTGGAACAACTTATGCTCAGAAATCCAATGGGCCAGCGATACAGATAATATCAGGAAAATGTATGAAAACATCAGAGTTGCTATTGGACCAACAGCAAACTAAGTGGCACCAGTGGCACCTCTAAAGTCTGCGACTGGTGAACAGCTGACAAACAAGAACAAACAAATGGAAAGATGGGTGGAACATTATTCAGACATATACTCAAAGGAACGACATGTTGATAGACAGCTGCATGGGGCCATTCCTCAGCTCTCCGAAATGTCAGAACTTGATACAACACCAACAGAAGAAGAACTCTCCTCTGCAATCGATGAACTCGCCTGCAGAAAAGCAGCAGGTAATGACAACATACCTGCTGAAGTGCTGAAAGAGAACAAAGAGACCCTCCTCTCATATCTCTACAAGCTACTAACGACTTGTTGGCTGCAAGCAGAAATTCCACATGACCTTATTCAAGGTCATGGTGCCTTTGACGGTAACACCAAAGATTCACCACTGCCAAGATATTGCACTTGCACTTTGGGTTTTTGTCTGCACCGTGGCGGGCCTCGCTTTGACACATAGCGCGATATATTGATATATATATATATGTGTGACTAGGAGAAATGCTAAAGATAACCCAAATTAACAAAAGGAAAAGAGGGGAGGTGCTGTGAATGAGAAGGAAGAAATTCTGAAAACTGAAAATCATCAAACAAAAATGAGGAAGGTTATTTAAAGATTTTAAATTACAAGTTAATCACTTTCGTTGGGTAAAAATTGTGCTTAATAGCTAAGCGGTCATTACTTATAGAGCTCACTTATTGGTCGACTTTAATAGTGCAACAAGTGCAACTATTACTTTGGACAAAATCCACAATAATTACTTGTGCAATTTTATTGGGTGGCATAGGTCTGTGGTAGAATGATGAATCAGAATGGTTGATCAGGCAAGAGTCGAGGATCACTGCTCATTCGGTGCTGATCTCTGCCAGCTATTTCGGCGTGGACAACAAATGACACTTGGTCACTGTTGCATCAGTGCAAACATACTTGGCCTTGTGTGCAAACAAACATCATCTGACTGTGATCACCAATCGACCAGGGTTATAAAAATATATATCACTTGTATAGTGTGTATTTCTGACAGTGCGTATCATCTAAATTAGAGTTTCACTGTGTTGTCACAGTGGGTATATTAATTACAGCTATCTGGGCTTTTTCGTTTTGGATTTTCACACCTTTGATGCAAAGTCTCATCAGCTAAATCGATTTCTTACAGGTCATCCCATACCACACATCTTCAGGCATGAAGCAAACCCTCATCTACTGCAGCTACTTCAGTTTTGTTATGCTGAGGAACTTCTTCAGGGAAGCGGAGATTGACTTTCTCTTCATCAATGAGTGAGAACCTCTCTTCTTTTTTTTTTAAACATTGTTAGAGGTCGGATTTATTATATGGTTAAATTCAGAGGACAAAGCTTGAATTGTCTTATTTGTTGTCTGTATCATAGCGTCAGTTTTGTTTGTTTATAAGGCCTCTTCAGTTTATTGTTTTGGGAGGGGGTCTTTTATTTTTTTCTTTACATGTGGTGTATTTCCATACTTTAACTCATTCGCTACGTATTATTTTTGGCTTGTGGACGAATTTTTTTCGGGAAGGCGAAATGAAATGATGACTAGTGGGCAGTTCAAAGGTCTTTCGGGCCACAAATTGACAAATAAATATTAACATATTATGCACCGAAATTTCAGTATGATTTGTGGAATACAACTGTAATGTTTATTTGTGCATTTTTATACTTTGGTTCCTGTAAGAGACGATTATGCAACACAATTTTGCTTGGATGCGGATAAAATTTGAAAATAAAAAATTGATCATCTTCGGTGAAACTAAAAAAATATGTTTGCACCTAGTCAAATGATACATCAAAATAACCATAAAAGAATATAGAACTGGAAAATATTGAAAAATTTGCAGTTATTTTTATACATTCCATAAAATTTGCACATTTGGATCATGACATCCGATATTGAAAAAAAATACACAAATTTTATAATATTGAAAAATGGACAAGATGCATTCACAAACAGAAAAAAACACTCATATCATATATGGAATTATTTAGAATTGCTTTTGGAATAAACCTACACATGTCTTGAGTGGTATTTTTTGTGTAATTTCACGAAAAAATGGTGATTTTTGGGAGAAAAAGATCATTTGACAATTTAGATCTGGCACTGAAAAATATTGATTTCTCAATAACAGAGCAATGACAGTTTGAGCCCAATTGTATCAATATTCTAAAGAAGAGTCCTACATTTCTTTAGTGTGCAAAATAATGATATATTTTGCTGTGTAAAAGTAGTAAGGCTGGGGTCTGGGCTATAATTTGAGCATCGCGATAAAACAAAGTAGCATAAACTTCGAAATTGTGTGTTTCAAAACTGAATCAAAACTTCCGATTTTCGGTGGAAACGCTTGACCCAGAAGTCAACATTATATTATGACCTTTATTTTAACATGGATATATGGATTGGAATAGAATCTAAGCTAAAATTGAAGCTCGGTCCTCGAGCCGCCTGGGGCGGCTTAAGCGTACTGACGGCACTTTAGCCGCGCCGCTCCCCACGGCTCGGCGTAGCGAATGAGTTAAGGTATATTTTCTTTGTATTGTTTGTCAAGGCTTTTACTTTACCAAAGAAATTTGTCTCAAATTGAAGATGAAGGGGGTATATACAGTCTCTCTCACAGGAAAAGTGCTTGGAAATATGTTTAGAATTTTAAAATTACTCATATTTTTTTTACTACACGATTTTAATATGCTAGTCCACTTTGTTAGCTCCCATTTTTATAAACTAAAATTTGTCATTCTGTTTTCTTTAGTCCCTCTCTTTCTCTCTGCCAGTCTATCTTTCTAATCCTTTTCTTTCTATCTCTCCTCCTTGTCCCCTACCTATTTTCTGCTTTGTCTCTCAAAGGTGAGCTCAAAGCAGATCAAACTTCTTTTTGACTTTAGAATTTTTGTGTTTGTACATAAAAGCAAGTTCACTTCTTTCTTGGATCCTCAGGTATGACTCCGAGAAGCACATGAGGAACGCCCGCATTCACTTCCGAAAACGACACCCACACTTCATGCTTTACACTGAGAGGCTCCACTTTCATTATCGGTAAGTTCATTCTGACAAACCCACTCAGACATGTAAGTCTCCCAATTACTGCTGAAATTCTGAACATTTTTGGAATTCTGTCTGTGTATTCTGACATGCTTGCTGATCCATGGAAAGAAAAAGAAATTGAACTTTGAACTCTGAACTCTGACCAACAACTCGAGCAAATGCGGAGAGTATAAGCCACAGAAAAGAGGGAAATGTCACTATAAGCAGTATTTCATTTTCTCCATAAATGTACATACGAGGGGCATACCAAAAGTTTTTTACTTGACCATAAAGGAATAAAGGTAAAAAGCTGAAATTTGGGGTGAAAGCCAACAATCATCTTCCAAGAATGCTTGTAAATTTTGGGGAATTTAAGATTACTGGTTTTACCACCAGCGCACTGGAAGTGAATGGGGGTATGTTGCTCTCCAGTTTCAACATAAAAATGGAGAAAATTGAGCGCAGTGCAGTAATGAAGTCTTTGTTCTTGAAAGGCAAGCAACTACAGGATATTTTTACGGAGATGCATTCTGTACATGGAACTGATTGCCCATCCTATGCTGTGATAAAATTTTGATGTAAAAAAAGTGATGATGAGGTCAAAGAAGCGGTAGAGGGCTGGTTTTCTGACATAGAGAGGGTCCTCTATTCTCAAGGTCTCTTCAAGGTCATACACAGATGGCAAACATGTATAACTCTGGGAGGTGACTACATAAAGAAATACTAAGCTTAGTACCAAATTTCAGCTTTCCTTCTTTATTTCTTCATGGTCAGGTTAAAAAAACTTTTGGTATGCCCCTCATATATTTTAGCTGCTTTTTTTTGTATTTGATATTGCAGAAATGCTTTTGAATGACAGATTTATGTTTTTCCTGGAATAAAAGGCTACATTAGGGCCTGCTGCATTCTAATGTTCAGAACTGAGAACCATCTTACAGATCTGTGTGTACTGCATGTTCTCTGATTAGTCGAGGGAAATGAACATTTTCTTAACTGTGTCGCATTGAAGCAAGGTGTAGTCCATTGAATGGTACTTTGCTCTCTCTTGAATGTATGAACTGATTCCGTCCATGATTTTGTCAGGCTCTGGACAGAATTATTTTTCTCTGTTCAGTTTTAGACCTGGGGTGCATCTATGTAATGCATTACTGTGAAGCTCTAAGTTACTCTAATATGTATTGTCATATACCAAACTGATGGGAATAAATAGAAGAATCTGTTTATATCGATAACAATGACCTATAATCTGTTTGTATTGCATTTTCCTTCTGACAAAAACGAATGAGAAAAAAAAATTGCGCAACAGCTCTTCGAAAATTTCGACTTACCGCATTTTCTCAGCTCTACAAGTCCTTATAATCCATAGGAATCAACACAACATTGTAGCGATATCACCCTAGCACACATTTATGCAAGAATTTCACAAATTTAGTTGAATATCTTTCTTTAAGTCTTTGAAGAGCCTTTTTATTATACCAGGCTCTGTGTTGTTTACCCTTAGATCTAGCCTACATCGCGACAACAAAACAACGATTTTTGCAAAAATTTTGCTGAGTTTTGATAGATATTGGCGCTCAGAGATTGAGGTCAGGTTTGTTTGCAAGCTCTACTTCCTTTCGACAACTTAAAAAGTAGAAACTATGTTAAAAAGTGCACCTTTGTTTCGGATTTCGTTGAGCCGCTCACAGCGGCCGAATGGAGGCAGCGGAAAAACTCAGAGCCGCTGTCAGCGGCCGAATGGACGGAATCAGTTAAAGTAGCATTGCGCTCTTATCCAATTTAAACTTGTGAAAAAAACAGTGCGTAAGTGTCTGTTCTTGATTAGAGGGTTTTTTTGAGTACTTAAAGCTTTGAAATTTAGAAGGAATTCAACAGCAAGCCATTGATCAAAAATGATCTTCCACCAGATGATCTGCAGAAAAGGAGAGTAATTGTCTATAATAGATTGTGTATTTCCGTAATGAAAGTCGAACATGTAAACACTTTTATCAAATGTAACTTTCATAATTTGCATCGAGAAGTGTTAATTTCTGTGCTGATTTATACTCCACTCAGTTTCCTACGTTATAATATATATTATCCTTTTTTAAAAAATTCTCTCTGTTGCCTACAATTTTCTTTTATATAAGATATGGTGTGCTCCTTGCGACTCAGTCCTCAAACTTTCTCCTTCAAAAAGTGAATTGGGGCTTCACAATCAGGTGTTTAACAGTTTAGCAGTATGTTGATGGTTTGTGTGATGATGCCATCTTGTTGTGATAATGTATCTTGAAAGAAAAGCGCATTTCCCCACAATATTGTACTGGTTTGAAATATGTGGGCCTACTATTCTTCCACAATGGAGGGCTTATTAGGATTATTTGTTTCCAATTGTGCTAGTCTCACTAACTAGTTCTTTGAATCTTGCTACTGTGATAAGAATAGCTCAAAACTGTTGGTGTTATTAGAGAAAAATTTCTGAGAGGTATTTATGTAATACATCAACCATGTCAGACCCGGCTCACTGATTCTAAATGACAGGTATACCTGGACTCTTGCTAAAATGGATGCTTCGTCATGGAAGTAGTCAAAGCTATCAGACAAATAAACAGAAACACACGAAACCTTGTCGCAGTACTTGTTGAGGTTTTACTTCAAACCAACCGCAATATTCTTCCTTAATATGTCACATTGTTAGTCCATTTAGGATCCCAGCCTACGTCAATCCCTCACCCCCCCCCCCCTTCCCCCTTATAGGACCACACCCATTTCATCAAACCCTGACTCTATAAGTTCATTTGAGTTCTCATTACTAGCTCATAGGCCTCATCTAAGGCGCTTTCATAACTAGGCATGTTTTAAAGTCAATTCGCAAACATTTTATACCTGGTTTTGATGCTTGGTTCAGGGATGATGAGATAAAGCTTGTGTGAGCAGTGATGATGAGATAATGCTAGTGTGAGCAGTGATGATGAGATAATGCTTGTGTGAGCAGTGATGATGAGATAATGCTTGTGTGAGCAGTGATGATGAGATAATGCTTGTGTGAGCAGTGATGATGAGATAATTCTTGTAGAGGAGTCTAGGTGCAAACACTGAAAAAAATGCTTTTGTGGTTTGAAGATAGACTTGGGCTGTCATTTGAGAACAAAAGGTAAATAAGTTTGGCTGGGAATTAGTGATGGTGCCAAAGCTAATTGAATATGAAGGACTGCAAATTGTTATAAAAATGTTGAGCTAATAGAATTTGAATGCTACACACTTTATTTGAAAGTAAACCTGAAGTAAATGGTCTCTTTACAGTTTCCGGCTTCGCGGTATACATCACATTGTGTGGTTTGACCTGCCCCAGTACCCAGCTTTCTACCCAGAGCTGATCAACCTGATGGACACTTCACATCAAGCCTGCACCAGTACAGTCCTCTTTACAAGGTAGATAATTGTCATTGTCAGCTTCATTGTTTCGAAAGAAAATATCTATTTAATCTATCTTATGCGCGAATCAAATAACACCAGTAAAAGTAAAATGTAACCTCCAATGTCCTTGCACATGAAGACCACAGTCAGCTGTTCCTGTAAGACATTGCTCCAACCTCACTGTTACCCCCAAGATGACCCTGGATCTGCGTACTAGATTAAGCCAGTCCCAAATGTGGGGGCGGAGGGGAGGGGGGGTCCAAAACTTTACTTTTGCTTCTACCCTTTTTCTGTTTTATAGGGTTTAATGTTTTATGGAGGAAAAAACAGATTTTCACTGTTTACATATATTTATGTGTGGCATCATGCTGAAATGAGGCACCTGTTAGAATGATGAAAATGAAGAAACAGACATTTTTCCTCCTATTGGACTGGTTTTTAGCTGGTTTTAGTAAGGTTTTACAGCACCCGCAACTGCATAAGATCATTTGAGCGCCATTGGACAGTTTTATCAAATTTTTTACTTTGGGCTCAACACCTATAACGTCATTTAAAAACGTATTCCTATTTGGATTTTACTGAAAAATTTACAGCTTTGGAAGTCACCTAACTTTAGCAGTCATTTTCTTATCATCAATTTTACCTTTGACACCAGGCGACTCCTATTTTCTTCAATCGCAAACATATCAACTTCTGTTAAAAATAGATGGGTACTTTTTTTTTTCACCTAAACCAAGGCAAATAAACAGGCTTTAAAGATTCTACCAGCAATATGGCCAAAAATTGACAAGCGCCTGACCCTCTGTGTTGTCACACACATGGTGTTATTGGCTTTCTTGTAACTTGTCGGCTTTGTCCTCGCTGCGCCTGGTGTGACGTTATGCTTGGATAAAGGCACTTCCCAAACTCAACCTCGTGGGTGGTTGGCGGGTGTTCTGGTATGGTTTGCTGCTTCTTCTTTCCTATGAAACATCTATCATCTTTATCTCCCCTTCTTCTTTTTTTATTTTTGTTACTCTCTTGTAACACCTCTAGTCTCCTGGCGCTCGTATGACCTTATGCAGTTGTGAGCGCCGTAAAATCTCTACTAAAATAACTCAACCTCCCCTTTGTTTGTGTGCTACTGGATGCTTAGTTTGGAAGTGTTTGAGTGGCAGGTAAGAGTGTTATTGAGGAAGGGATTTTCTGTCGTTTTTTCAGCTTCAGAAATTGTGATGTATGCTCTGGATCTAAACACCAGCGTCTGTGGTGTAGCGGTTAGGTGCTTCTGTTGTGTGCATGGACCCAAGTTCGATTCCCAAGTGGGAAGACTTTTTATCTAGTGTATTGATCTTTCTGCTGGGATGTTGTATTCTCTCAGTCCAGATTGGCTTTGACAGACAGGGTTAGAAGCCCACCCCCTAAATGATCTAAATTGTGTTGATTGCTTAAAAGCAGCTACTTTTTCTTCTTTTTATTTGCTACTTTTTGTGTCTCAAAAACCTGTTTCATGCATTCAGTTTGTGGCATTGTAATTAAAATATTTTTTTGGGATAATTTTCATGGATTTTTTGCTAGTGCAACTTTTCTAACAAGTAAATTAACTATAGTATGCTAGCTAATGTCTGTGGGTTTTTTTTTCTTTTCAGGTTTGAAGGCCAAAAGTTGATGGAAGTTGTAGGTAGCAAGCAAGCAGCTCATATGATGAACTCTGAGAAAAATGTGAACATGATCACTGTTTCATGACATTTATGCATTTTATAGTCACAGTGCTTTAGCAATGAAACGTTAGTTTAATTTTGTGCAAGCATTCAACATGGAACTTACGTCACTAAAAACCTTATTTTAAGACTAGAGTTTTTTAAAAAATCAAGTTTTGATGTTGATACCAAATTTGTGGATGATTGGCAGGTGTTCTAGTGTGGTCTGCTTCTTCTTTCCTATCAAACATGTATTGTCCTTATCTCTCCTCTTTTGTGGGGGTTTTTACTCACTCGAACACCTCTGATCTTCCCCACTTATAATATGGCCTGATTGTTTTGCAAGTGCTGCGAAATACTTACTAAAATAAATAAAACAAAAGATTCCAAAATTTACAATGTGTGAAACTCTTAAGTGGTGGTAAACTAATGCGGTATACTCTGAAGAAAGAGGGTATGTGTGAAGTGATGGTTGTGATCTCAGCAACAAAGGCCTTGTCAAGACCTTACTGGAATGTTTATGTACATTGACAGACAGAGGGATGGAGATGTATGCCGGACTTTTTGTAAGAATGAAATGAAAGAAAAAAATATATGAAATTTTCTAAAGAATAGAATGTTTGTTTGATTAGGGAACTTAGTATTGTATGGATGAGTGGTACATCGCTTGACTTGTACATCGTTTGAGAGTTGAAGGATACTTGCATGTATGCTATGTGTTCAAAAATATGTCTGACTTCATATGGGTTAAGTGAAAATGTTAGGGAATGATGACAGAGAAACCAGTAAAACACATCCGAACTAGATTCGGGATTGCTGGAACTTGCAGCTTCCTATTCTCTGTCCCAGGTGAGGGATTTTTTTGTCACCTGTCCAGAGCTGCCAACCTTACACCAAAAAAGCCTATTTGTAAGCTTTTTCAGCGATCGTAAGATTTTACACCACTTTGCCAAATTGTACAACTTTTTGCTTGATCTGATAGACCGTCAAAACAAAATCTCGCTCCGTTTGCTGTTCCGATTCGTGACCGCCAGCGGTCCAATCTATTATTAATAGGCCCCTATGACAGCAAGTGTACTATTGGACGAAGACACAAACACCATCACAGTGACTTCCCTTGTTTGATTTTCTCCTAATTTTGTTTTGTTTAGGCCTACTTCCGCCGAATTCGTGTTGTGTGGTGGTCTGTTCTTTCAATTTTTACGAGAGTTTTAATTGTGTGTGCGTGACAAATAGGGATATTTGTTATATTGTACTCTTTTTTTTACAATCTTACAAATTTTGAGGTAAGATCTTACACTTTTGTGGCCAGTAGGGTTGGCAGCTCTGCCTGTCAATGTTGATTATTCAGGAACCAAGTTTTACCAGAGTTGTAATACTCTTATACAGTGAAATACAGATGTTGCAAAGTGGTCAGGCCCAATTTTCAATTTCGTTGAATCTGAATGTTCATTACAGCAATGTGTGCAACAAGTTACGTTGCAGTGTAGGGCCTAGAATACGGTCACACACCAGTGTACTATTTGTTACTAAGTTCTTTGTCTAGACTTGTTTGGGGGGGGGGGGAGGTATGACTAAAACTCTGCTGATGTTCCACTGTTGGAATGTTTGTGCCTACTGGGGGAATCTGTCTCCTTTTGTTGAATTCCGAGTTTTCATTGAATCCAAATTTTACTGTATGGCCATCATCATCATCCAGTGCGAGATCTGCGAGACATCAGCTGTCATGGTTCTCCATTCCTTTGCTCTCAAAAAAGCTACGTTTCCCTGATGTTTCCCTGTTACCCATTTGATTAGGTTCCCTAAGTAGGTTGTTCTAGACCTACTCCTGCCTCATTTGCCTTCAATTTTGCCAGTGAGAGCTAGATGTTCAAGACCCTTATGTTTATTCCTTATGTATTGATGTAAATAAGCTTCTTTTTTCAGACATCTTAGAAAGTACTGAGAGAAAGAGCATCATACATTTCAATTATTGTTGTTTGAAATATTGCTTTGAATAAAGACATCATTTTTGTGTAAAAATCCTGATATGAATATACATTTTTATCACTGCACTAAATCTATCACTGTGTTTGTCAGTTCTATTTACACAAACACCCGAGAGTCATGACACACTCATCTTCAATTTTAATTATAACATGTTCACTTGCCTTGCTTTAAATGAAAAAAAAATCCAGCTATCAAGTCAAGATATGTTTGTCTGAAGGGCATGGAGGTTGCATGGAGGTAAAATGAGCAAGAAAATAGCCATTTGATTTGCAGACTTCCATAGCTGCTGTGTCCTTAGAAACTAAATATACATCTAATGTGCCTTTGATCAACGTTTTTCCAGTAAAATGGAAGCAGGAATTTGTTTTTAAATGGACATAAAAGGTGTTGAACCCAAAACAAGAACAAAAGTCCTTCAGACAATCAGAGCGGGATCTTAAGGGTGACTTTAGTGCTGTAAAATTTATGTTTTACTAAAACTTCAAAGACTGCGATCCTTTGCCCAGGAGGAAGTGGCCATCTAAGACAGGACTGATCAAAATGAAGATAACAAACCATTTTCTTCTGAGGTACCAGCTGGAGGCGAACTCGGGCCTAGGACTGCCCTTAAATTTTTTTCTTTTGAAGGGGAGTTTTACGACTGCTAGAAGTATTAAATTTTATACATTTCAATGTATCAGACGAGAAAAACAGTGGGCATTCAAGATTAAAACAAAATTAAATGTTTCAAACAAGAACAAGACAAGAACGATTGTCGAGTGCCATAATTTAATGCATAATTAAACAAACAAATGGGTCGCCACAACTCTGCAAACAAGCCACACTCCTGGCGCAAGTTAACTCTATCCTTACGCCCTGAGGTCATTCTGTACACTCGGGGTTGTATTCTTCACATTTTAGAAGACTTCTAGTACGAAGGTCTCTTTGAAGCTTAAAGTATTTCTCAAAAAATCATTTTGACAGACTGCTATGCAAAGCGTATGGATCGGATTAACGAGTAAATGTCCTCTTTGGAAAGTGGTGGCACTGAGTTCACCACTCCCAGGTCGTATGGATACGATAGTAAAACACGATGTACGGATAGGGTTAATGTTGACCGTGACATTCATTGTTACTATTGTTACCGACTGGGTAGACATCAACTGTTCATCACACTTTTTGTGTATAGTTTGGGTTGTGGGCGGGGCTTATTAGTCATTATGACTGTTCACACGCTACCTTCGCCAGGAGCTGGAAATTTGTTACTGACTGGTCAACTTGATCGGTTCATTCGCTGGAGGGATTAACACAATAACAATGACAGATGAATGGATTATGATTGCTCGTCCACTGCGCCAGGAGCCGAATTCATAGTCATAGTGAATTTAGAAACACGACGGGCGATGACAGATTTCAGTGGCCAACTTTTTCCTATTAAATATAATGATATATAATTATGTACTTTTAATGGTCCTATCTCTCCTCCTATTCTGTGTATGCTACTACTACTGTCTAGTACCACCTGTCATCTTTGGAACGTTTTATATTATATCTAATTATGTTGCGAGCGCTGTAAATTTCTTCCTAAAACTAAACCAAGACTTAGACATTTTTGTATATACCCTTTAGAAGTAGAATATCACCGTCTCTTAACTGGCTTTTTAGGGGTAGTTTGCTCTGACTTTCATATCAATATTAACCGTTTATCGACCTTATATCTCCTTTGTCATTTTTACGTTGTTACTTTCTAGTACATGAAACACCTCTAATCTTACGCATTTTGTATTCTGGAAGGGCAGACAAGCAACTATTTGTGTTGCAAGTTCCACAAAATATACATGTACTAAATCTGAACTTAAAAAAAGAGGGTGAATGCGTAGAGCAGATACTCTAATGATCACTTTCCACTTGGCCCTTGCGTTTTCTTCTACTATGATGTCTCCTCGACAATAAGTATTAAGTAGTCGTCTTGAACAGGTTCGACTGCATAGATAAATTATGTGTATGTGTGCATGTGTATATAAATTGTGTGGACTAACAATAAGCAGTATTACAACAAGACGCTTTGCCAACATTTCTCAGTCGCCTCGTGTAATTTTAAAAAATGTTTTCACCCCGAGACAAGATATTTTACTGTATTGTATGTTGCTGTTTAGCGTTAAAATTGAATGTAAATCACCCCAAGCGGTGTTTGTTTGTTTGTTGTTTTGTTGTGGTTGTTTTTTTGTGGTTGTTGTTTTGTGGGTTTTTTTGGGGGGGGCATAGTTTTACTATGGTGGAGCAAAGAATAGCACCTGCTGTGATACTGTGTGTCGTCAGAGGCGACTAAAGGTGAGTAGGTCTGGTCTCCCGAAAAATGCCAAATTTGCAGAGGGCCAACTACCCAACCTTGTAAAAACTGAAAGTTGCAGAAACACGAACAGACGCTTCTTTTTTCCTGTCCTATCAAACAGCTATCGTCCTTATCTCCCGTTCTTCTTTTTTATGCTTGTTACTCGCTTGTAACACCTCTAGCCTATTCTGGCGCTCATATGACCGTATGGAGTTGCAAGCGCCGTAAAACCTCTACTAAAACAAAACGAAACGAACAGACACAACTATTCATTTTTCGATCCTGGGAGATAGAGGAGCATCTGCATCAGCAGGAACAGTGAAGGACTGTGGACCAAGCCGAAAGGGCTCTCCTGACCCTACTCCTCGGTCGAACAAGTCTCTCCATGTATGAAGCAGGAAAAAAAGAGTTCTCAAGTGGCACAAGAGATGAAGAGATACAGTCTGCACATATACTAGGAGTCAGCGAACACTGGATACAGTCTGGGTAGAAGCAGCTCAGGTCGGGGGAACAAATTGTATTCAGGGAGGGAAGACAAACACCATGCGGAAGAAGTTGGAATCATTTTGAGTAAGTATGCACAGGAGTCATTTAGAGGGTGGGAACCACACGGGGAGAGGATCATCATGGCTTCTTTCTCTACACTACAAGGAACAAGAGCATCAACATGAATAGTTCAGATCTACGCCTCAACAATAGTGCTTCGAAGGAAGACGATGCCTTTTACAGCCTGCTCCAGGGTTCATTGACACACTACCAAGGAAGGATGTCAACATCTTAGTGGGAGATACCAATGCCAAGATTGGTCAGGACAACGTAGGTTATGAGGGAATTTTTGGACAAATGAATTAGCGATTAGCAAACATCTGTGTTTTTCAAAGTTTTATCATTGAAGGCTCTGTTTTTCCCCTTATATGATATTCCACAAGGCTACCTGGGTATCGTCAGATGGAGTGACGGAGTACCAGATACCATTTTTGCATCTTTCGTATGCTCAGAAGTTCACTGGAAGATATAGTGTTGAGAGGGGCAGACGTTAGAACGGATCATCATCGGCTGCTAGCAAAACTCAAGGTTCGTCTTAAAAAGCACGGAACCAGAACAGGAACCAAAAGAACGATGGGCACAAGAAAGAGGAGTTTCGGCTGCAGTTGAGGAACAAATTTCAACCGCTGGCTGATCTTGGGTGGTGGAGATGCACTGGGTCACGATCAAAGCAGTCTTTACTTCAACATGTCAAGAAATACTCGGTGAAAAGAAATTGGAACGCAAGGAACAGATCTGTCAACCCTCATTGGATTTAGTTAGGAATAGAAGACAACTGAAGGCAGAGTCTAATAAAATACAAGCAGAACAAAGAGATCAAGAGTGGAGTAGTACAGAGCAACAGCCAAAGGTGTCAAAAGATCGCAAAGAAAAGACCAGGAGGAATTCATGGACAGGTTGGTAGAGAGGGCAGCGGGAGCAGCGACAGGAGAAAACATGAGAATCCTTTACCATACCACAAACCCTCTTGCTGGAAAATATGATAAACCAGAAGTACACAGTATAGTACTGTATAAGATCAAGAGGGGAAAACCATTTTTGGCAAAGAAGCTCAAATGTAAACGACAGGTAGAACATTTCAAGTTTCCCGAAGAGACCATAACCAAGTAACCCGCCAAACATCCTGTCAGCAAGAAATGAGTTACCAATCTGCTGTGATGCTCCTTCACAACAAGATATTCTGGATGCCATGAACAAGTTCAACAAAGGTAAAGCGGCTGGTCCTGATCAGATTCCACCTGAGGCCCCAGAACAGTTGCCAATTTGACGGCAGATCTCCTTCTCCCACTGTTTACCAGGGTCTGGATTGAGAGCAAATTCCCAAAGGATTGGAAAGAAGGATACATCGGGAAGCTTCCTAAAAAGGGGGACCTCAGCAACTGCGGCAACTACAGAGCGATCACTCTCCTCTAAATATGAGGGAAAGTCTTCAACAGAATCAATCTGGAGAGAACCAAGACTTAACAGAGCCAAGACTTCGGATCGGGATGAACAGACTGGTTTTCGGAAAAATCGGTCAATCACTGACCAGATTACTACGCTGAAGATCATAGCGGAACAGTCCCTGGAGTGGAATTCTCAGTTGATCGTCAAATTCTTTGAATACGAAGCCTCTGACAGTACAGTCCGTGTCGGCTTTAAGCACGCCGGCATAAAGCACGTTTCGGACTGAAGCATGCTAAACGGCTCTTACCGAATTTTTGCTACATGTATATAAATTACACGCCTTTAAGCACGGTAAATTCGGCTTCAGGCACGCTTCATTTACGAGATAGTCAATACTTTCATGATGACCCATCGAAGTTAGAACACTGTCTACACCACAGCAGTGAGTGTGTTAAGAGAAATAAAAAGAGCGCAAGTGATGGACACACACACATGCGCGCAGAGGAAGGCAGAGAGATGCACACAGCGGCGCGCGTGGACATAGGATCTAGCCTAGGGCAAAGCTACTCAGGCTACACACAGACGAAAACAAATTAAATGCAAAGAAAGTCGGTGGGACGAGAAAAGGAGGAAGGCTGCGATTTCACCTTATTGCCCCTCGCTGTCCGATAATCCTGATTTGGTATCACGCGCGAGGTTGGACCAAAGACCTTGTTTCTTTGGGGGGATGAAGGCAGTGGTATGAATTTGATACAGCGGGCAGTAATACGCACACAGTGTGTACGCCTGGTGTGTTGTATCGTGACTGGCCGTCTAAATTAAGTTTT